TACTACAACAAAACAAACATGTCCAGACTAAAAAACGTTTTCCAAATCACCAAAAAATAAAGCCATAATTGCAACGTAACAGTGATCACAACGACTGTGACCGAATTTTTACAATAACCTACATAAATAACATGTAACACCAAACCCTAGAGCCATAGCTGGCTGCATGAGTTACTCCACAACAACAGAAGCATCGGTCGGAGTATCAAATTTTTCAATGCACCTTTAAGATCAGCACGCCAAATCAAAATACAGATAATACTTTGCAGCGTCATCCGGAGCGAAACATTTTATTTTATTTTACGCCAATGAATAGCAGTGGCAGCTAGGTGTGTACAACTCCTCTAGAGCAGTTTTGAGAGTAGATCTCATTGGTAGCGATTCAAGTTGCAGTTTATTGGCAATAGCATTCCAGACTCTGGGGGCATCAATAGCAAAGGCCCTTCCTCCAGTTTTTGTACGGCAATAGGGAATGTGAAGCTGGTAAATGAGCGAAGACCTGAGGTCAAATTTGTTCTTTGAAACAGAAAGGATATCCAGCAGGTAGTCTGCGGATTTTTTTGTAAGTACATCATGAATAAGATCTGGTGCACAAGCTGTCGAACATTAAGAGATGTTAAGTTTGACCCAATGTAGAGATCACAGTGGCGAGTCCTATATGAGCAGTTCAATGTAAATCTTAAGGCCGAGTGATAGATGGAATCAAGCTTCTTCAGTACAGTACTTGGGGCTGATTTATACACGATGTCACAGTAGTCAATTAGAGGCAGTATGGTAGCTTTTATCAATTCCAAACGGATCATTGGAGGGAAGCAGTGCTTGTGTCGATACAGAAAACCAATTTTTATTTGTCTTTTTACCAATATAATCAATGTGATATTCAAAATTCAGTTTTGAATCCAGGATGACCCCAAGATACTTATAGATCTTGACTTGCTCTATTTGACAATTATTTAAGGAATGTAATTGGGGAAAAATAACTTCCTGCTTTAGTCCTGTTGAGAAGCATAGCACCTTGGTTTTGGAGGTATTCAGGACTAGTTTAAGAGCAACTAGCTGATGTTGTAGTTTGTTGAAATCACCCTGGAGCTTAGCAATCACGTCATCTGGAGAGCGGCCAGCAGTAATCAGTATCGTATCTTCTGCAAAAAGATTTACCCTGGAATGATCCAGGTCAGTGCCCAAGTCATTGACATAAAGAGAGAACAAGAGGGGGCCGAGGATGTAACCCTGTGGAACCCCTTTTGTTATCTTAACACTGTTTGACCTCCAACCATCTGTGAATACAGTTTGGGTGTGAGAAAAGAGGTAATTTTTTTAACCATTTTACTGTGTTTTTGGAAAAACCGAGGCAACTTAGTTTACCAAGCAGGGTGTTGTGGTCTACTGTATCAAAAGCTTTGGACAGGTCAAGAAAAAGACAGGCACAGTACAGCTTATTATCAAGGCTACTGTAAATTTGATTCAGAGAGTCTAATGCAGCAGATGTGGTGCTGTATTTTTTTCGGAACCCAGATTGTTTTAGATGTAGTAGATTGTTGGTGGGCAGGAAACTGCTAATTTGGTAGTTCAATAATTTTTCAAAAATTTTCATCAATGGGGACAAAATTGAGATAGGTCGGTAGTTTTTGGGATCATCTTTAGGGCCCCCTTTGTGAAGTGGACGGACATAGGAATGTTTCCATTCTAGAGGAACTGATGCTTCTTTGATGGACAGGTTAAAAATGTGGGCTATAGGTTTGTATATTAGGTGACCAACAGTTAGTAGAGCAAAGATGGGAAAACTATCTGCTCCGGTAGAGGAGGACCCTTTGAGGTAGGAAAGCTGTTTCAGAACATTACTTTCGTGGATTGGCTGGAAACTAAATTCGTTTAATGTTTGGACAGGGGTGTAGGAATTTGCATGAGCAGGGGTGACTCCCAATACATTATCAAAAAGATTACCAGCTTCAGAAAAATGAAGGTTAAAATTGTCAACAATTTTTTGGGGATCTAAAAAATATTCCCTATTTCCATTAATCTCAACGGGCAGATTGTCTGTTTTGGATGCCTTTTCGATAGATTTGATTGTTTTACAAATAATCCTGGCATTTCCATGCGATTCCAGGAAAGTAGGCATTTTTTTCATGCCGTATTTTTTTGATACATCTATTCCTTAAAATCCTGTATTCTAGCCAGTCATTTACCAAATTACTTTTCTGAGCACATGCCCAAGCCTTGTCCCTAGTTTTCATGAGCTTTGTAATCAAAGGATCATACCATGGTGGGCGGTTGCCTTTAGTTTTAAATCTAACCAACGGAGCATGTTTGTTAAGAATTTGGAGAAATGTGTACCTGAAAGTCTCCCAAGCCGTAGTCAGGTTGGGGATATCACAGACCTTATCAATATCCGAGTGAAGCACATCATTTGTAAATGCCTGAGTGCTGAAGTGCCTCAAAGAGTGCTTCTCAACAATTTTAGGGGGGGCTTTGGGTCTGGCTGATGATTTCACCCCAAAAATGAAGGAGTGATCACTAAGGTTATTACCCAGAACATCAGTCAGTGTGAAATTGTGAGGGGCATTTGTCAATAGGATGTCAAGCAGAGTTGACTGTTCCGGATTTTTTAGATTGGGTCTTGTGGGGACATTTATTAATTGAAACAGGTTAAATTCATCTGTAAAATTTGTGGCCACGGCCGGCGGATTTAGCCAATTCCAATTTAGATCACCCACTAAAACTATTTCACCTTTAGGGAGGCCCCCAAAAAACTCTCTCAGTGCCGATGCAGCTTCAACATCCTTCCCACAAGGGTGTCTATAGTAGCACACTACCAATATCTGTTATTTGGGAGAGTTATTCTGAGAGCCAAACCTTCAAAGCAACATTTTTTAAACAAGGAGTGAGCTGGTGAACATGCAATAGTATTACGAACATAGATGGCAATGCCACCTCCTTTAGATCCTCGGTCAAGCCAAAAAAGGTTGTAGTTTTCAATCGTAATCTGCAAGTCATTGACGGCAGGAGTGAGAAATGTTTCTGTTAGGAAAAAAATGTCCCAGTCAAGATTTGCCACTTCTAGTTTTAGTTGACTTAATTTAATCACAAGCCCTCTGATGTTGACATGTAGAACACCAACACCTTTCCTGCCAGAAAAATCTACAGAATTATACGAGTTATTTTCATTTGGGCCAGGATGATGCTCAATACCACCCAGAAATAAGAAAAGTAGAATTAACAGTTTGCACAAGTATTTTCTGTGAAAGGATAAAGAGCGGCGAACCTTGGACGAATAGCAGTAGCTCGCAGATGGTGTTATTTTTAAGAGCAGAATGAAGTTTGGAAGGAGTGCTGGTGAAGTAATGGGACAAAGATAGGGTTTAAAAGGATACAATGATGGAGTGTAGAAGTGTCTATGAGCTGTTTCATTTGCAGGTGTAGTGGCAAATCGAGCAACAAGTATTGACGCAAAATAACGAGGGTAGCCGTTTGTGGAGTTGAGTGTGGCACTAGATATGGCCGGGAGGGACAGTAGTATGATACGGAGCATCGGGAGCTTGCGTGGAGGCGTCGTTTGTGTGCAATTTTTGTCGTAACTTTCCTGGCCCAAGGCCGTAAATGGTTGTGAGGGGCGCCGCAGGCGGTCAGGCTTGCTTCAACCCTTGGTTGTGAACATCCAGACATTAATCAGCAAGGAGCATTTCACGTCCTAATTCGACAAAATCTACGTCAACACGTAATACAAAATTATAATTCGTGTTGTAGAGAATGTATCTCCTCTATGTGTAACTTTTGAGTGGTATGCCGTGTTATTGATGAATGATCAGAGTGTGCTCCCTATTTCAAAGACAATGAGTTGCTCCAGAGGGAGAAGCTTCCTGAAACATAAAAATACCCTTTGACCTGTATCACAAGAACAATGAGTCTCACCTGAGTTATCTGTACAGATTACTTCCAAAACAGACTTTGTCCTAACATCACTTGTTCAATGTTTGACCCTTTTACACAAAATATTACATGTACGTACACAATCAGACAAGTATTCATTCTAAATAAATGAGTCATTTTAAATTTGTTCATTACTGCACTGAAATATACTGCATCAGGTTACATCGCATTAACAAGAAGCTATTTAAAAAACATATGCACCATCTGCTTAACAGTGTATGTACAACATACTATTGCGCCATTCAAAACCATTGCATGCTGGCGTCTGGGTCAAAATTGATCAAATTCTAAACATTACCTACAAAGTCCACATCCAAGATGCCACATCAACCATCGCCCCCTACTGACAGGCTCTTGTCCACATGCAGGCCGGTGCAGGGCCACCACCTTGTGCCACAGGGGCAGCTGCTACTTGTGGATCATTTTCGAGTGTTTGAGACAAAATACGATACAAAACTCCGAATTTCAAGAGGCGATTAAGCATGCACCATATAAATGGAATTATTAGAACCTTGTGAATGCTTGAGAGCTTATTGGCTCTCGCTCATGGATAGAGATCTGCCCAACCCACAGGTCCACAAGAACTGGCCGCTCTTACCCTGCAGGTTTAACCGAGGAATTGAGTGTTCAACTTCACATTCTTGTCATTAAAGGCCTGTGAAAAAAGGTGCATCTATTGGAGCGACATCGTCTCAAGCTTACACATCTACTGGGTCTCCATTTGACTTTGTATTGTCTCGGAAGTCCACCCACACCTCCACTTCCACAAACTGCTGGGAGTTGCCTCGCTCTGCCTCGCAGTTAGAATTCTCCTCCTGCTTCACGTTGCCTCCATCGATGTGAAAGTCCGATTTTTGAGTTGAATCTTCATCTTCACATTTTACCCTCACTTCTACGCTCCTCACCATCACTTCTTCACATTTCACCTTCACTTCTTCATATTTCACCTCGATACCTTTAAAAGTGTCCAAGCTGGGATTTTCTTCCAGTTCTTGTTTCATGAGGGATGGGCTCATTGCGGCACTTTGACTTCCACAAGCTGATTTCAGACTCCACTCCTTGTGGATCTTCTGATGCTTGTGTGTTCTCTGGTGTACATGAAGATTTGATGAACGTGAAAATGCCTTCCCACACACACTGCACTTGAAGGGTTTCTCTCCCGTGTGAGTTCTCTGGTGTCTTTGAAGATTTGATGAATCTGAAAACGCCTTCCCACACACACTGCACTTGAAGGGTTTATCTCCCGTGTGTGTTCTCTGGTGTGTTACAAGACTAGTTGACTGTGCAAACGCCTTCCCACACACACTGCACTTGAAGGGTTTATCTCCCGTGTGTGTTCTCTGGTGTGTTACAAGAGTAGTTGACTGTGCAAACGCCTTCCCACACACACTGCATTTGAACGGTTTCTCTCCCGTGTGAGTTCTCTGGTGTATAACAAGAATATATGAACGTGAAAACGCCTTCCCACACACACTGCACTTGAAGGGTTTCTCTCCTGTGTGTGTTCTCTGGTGTCTTTTAAGAAGTGATGACTCTGCAAATGCCTTATCACACACACTGCACTTGAAGGGTTTCTCTCCTGTGTGTGTTCTCTTGTGCTGAGTCAAACTTCTAGTATGATCCGTGCTGTATGCACACTGGTCGCATTGATGCCTTTTTGCACCGAGCTGTGCCGAGTGCCTTTGCTCCATCAGACCAATTTTGCAGAGGAAGCAACAGAGGAAGCGTCAGCTGCAGACAGAAAAAAAGGTATCCACACAATCTACACAACAGTACACAGTCACACGTAACTTACACATCTATGCTTATATATTCATATCATGAAAAAGTGTCCCAAATTCATCACACGGGCGGTTATGGTACTCAATGAGAGGGCAAATGGTCATATACGTGCCTCGAAGCCCTCGAATCTTCAAAATGAATGTTAACCCAAAACTCACTCAATTTCGGCTGTCTGGCCTCAAAAGGAATATTTATGAAAGCTAAATTCAGCTGACATAGCAAAGGGTATGGAAAAATACGATTTGTGTTATGCATAAACGCATATATTAATGTTCAATCACAACTTAGAGGTGTGAAGCCAGGCACAGATGTCCTTGGATGCTGGGATGAACAGCTCCGACTTCAGCTGCACGTGTGCTGTGATAACTACCTGGCTCAATAGAACTAATATATTTTACTACAAATACAAACTTGACCCTGTCACACACTGGCATGGCAAACAGTTGGTGGTGTGTCCAGACGCATGCCTGGCCACCTTCATCCGCTCATTATTAATGCTTCCTTACTCCACCAAGTAATTAATTGAAGGTCAATCAACATCGCCGAGGCTGCGTGTCTCTCTCTACATGTGGTGAGATGTTAACTACCTCTCCTGGCATACAGGAAGTCGTGGGTTGGATCCCGACCCTGGCGCCTGCTGTATATTTGGAGTTTACGTGTCTCTCTCTCTCTCTCCCTGTGGCCGCGTGGATTTCCCTCCGGATCCCCCAGTTGCCCCCACTCCACATGCAGAGTGAACACTGCCACGCGTCTAGAGTGAACACTACCACGCATCTAGAGTGAACACCGCCATGCGTCTAGAGTGAACACCGCCACGCGTCTAGAGTGAACACCGCCACGCGTCTAGAGTGAACACCGCCACGCGTCTAGAGTGAACACCGCCATGCGTCTAGAGTGAACACCGCCACACGTCTAGAGTGAACACCGCCACACGTCTAGAGTGAACACCGCCACACGTCTAGAGTGAACACCGCCACGCGTCTAGAGTGAACACCGCCACGCGTCTAGAGTGAACACCACCACACGTCTAGAGTGAACAGCACCAAGTGTCTAGAGCAGTGGTTCTTAACCTGGGTTCGATCGAACCCCAGGGGTTCGGTGAGTCGATCTCAGGGGTTCGGCAGAGCCCCCGCCACGGAGGTCCGGACACACTTGAATTATTGTGTAAATTTGTGATGACACACACGGCCCGCTTGGCCATCACTGGCTGCAGATGATCATGCTACACTGCTTGGCCAATCAGCGCTGCGGGGAATTTAGTGCGTACTCAGTAGTCAACGTGTGACTGTTGTTGTCGTACGTCGTGTGATTTCTTTAATATTTTATCCATACTAACTATGTCGGGCAAAAGAAGAAAGTGGTCGGACGAATATGTACAACATGGATTCTCATGTATCACGGAACGTGATGGGAGTGAGCATCCTATCTGCATGATTTGCAACGCCAAGTTGAGCAACTCTAGTCTTGCACCGGCAAAACTAAAGGAACACTTCTTGAAGCTGCATGGAGACGGGGAATACAAGAACACAACACTTGCTGAATTCAGGGTGAAGAGAGCCAGATTCGATGAAAGGGCCACTCTGCCTGCTCTTGGATTTGTACCTGTTAACAAACCGATCCTGACAGCATCGTACGAAGTTGCTTACCTGATCGCAAAGCAGGGCAAGCCACACACCATTGGTGAAACACTTGTGAAACCAGCTGCATTAAAGATGGCGAATCTGATACTCGGAACAGCGGCCGAAGGTAAATTATCCCAAATTCCCCTTTCAAATGACACCGTCAGTGACAGAATAGAAGACATGAGTAAAGACATCTTGGCTCAAGTAGTCGCGGATCTGATTTCAAGCCCGGCAAAATTCAGCCTTCAACTCGACGAAACCACAGACGTTTCTGATCTAAGCCAGCTTGCTGTTTTTGTACGCTATGTGAAAGACGACATGATAAAAGAAGAGTTTTTATTTTGTAAGCCTCTTACAACAACAACGAAGGCAGCCGATGTGAAGAAGCTTGTGGATGACTTCTTCAGAGACAACAATCTTTCATGGGATATGGTTTCTGCAGTTTGTACGGACGGAGCTCCAGTCATGCTGGGAAGAAAGTCTGGTTTTGGTGCGCTAGTAAAGGCCGATGCACCACACATCATTGTGACGCATTGTATTCTGCACAGGCATGCGTTGGCAACAAAAACCTTACCTCCAAAAATGGCAGAAGTATTAAAAACTGTGATGGAATGTGTGAACTATGTGCGAAAAAGTGCTCTGAGGCACCGCATCTTCAGTGAGCTGTGTAAAGAAATGGGCTCTGAATTTGAGGTACTTCTGCTCCATTCTAATATTCGGTGGTTATCCCGGGGACAGGTGCTCAATCGTGTTTTTGCCATGCGTGTGGAATTAGCCCTGTTATTGCAAGAGCACCAACACTGCCATGCAGATTGCTTCAAAAATCCTGAGTTCATTCTCATTTTAGCGTACATGGCTGAAATATTCGCAGCTCTCAATCATCTCAATCAGCAGATGCAGGGTGGTGGAGTCAATATCATGGAAGCGGAAGAACACCTGAAGGCTTTTCAAAAAAAGCTACCGTTATGGAAACGACGAACAGAGAACAATAACTTCGCAAACTTCCCGCTTCTGGACGACTGTGCAAGTAAGATCGAAGATGTGTCTGGAATCGGAGATATTTCTGTATCCACGGAACTGAAGCAAACAATTGCCACGCACTTAGATGAGCTTGCAAAGTCTCTCGACGGATATTTCCCTACAAGAGTCATATCAAGCATGGGTGAGACAGCCGTTCACGTTTGCTGTTGAAACAGCAGATGTCAATGATGAATTCCTCAACGAAATCATTGAAATTCAGCAGAGCCAGGTTCAACAGCAACTCTTCAGAACAACAACGCTCTCAACGTTTTGGTGTCGACAAATGAACAAGTATCCAGTTATTGCTAAGAAAGCCCTGGATTTTTTTATACCATTTGTTACAACATATCTTTGTGAGCAATCCTTTTCGAGGATGCTGGACATAAAAACGAAGAAAAGGAACAGACTTTGCTGTGAAAATGACATGAGAGTGGCACTTGCCAAGGTGAAGCCACGCATATCTGAACTGATCTCTCAAAGGCAACAGCAGAAGTCACATTGATTTCCAGGTATGTAATTTGTTGTGAGTTTATGCATTGTGTTGGTTTTATTATTTGAACAAGGTAATGTTCATGCACGGCTCATTTTGTGTACCAGTAAAAAACATATCTACGTCTTGAATTTGAAAAAAATCACATTTTATTTTTCACTAAAGAGGGGTTCGGTGAATGCGCATATGAAACTGGTGGGGTTCGGTACCTCCAACAAGGTTAAGAACCACTGCTCTAAAAGATTTGATTTATCAAATCTTTCCAATGATTGCTAAGATAGAATCCATCCATTTGATAAATCATTTCAGTTCTTGATTGATTGTTCACGCTTACAGTGGCTTTCAGACAGCATACATTATAAAAAAAATTCGTCTCCCCCCTCCTCTTTTCAAAAAAATAGATGGACTAGTCCTGGGCAAACTTCCAATCGCTGCGCGTGACGCCAACGTTTTTTATAAATAAATAAATGTGCCGTTTTAAAAATAAATGTATGCAAACCGACACACCTGATGATGACCGTTTGAGTTATGGTCGAAACGTCGTGAGAATATTTTATTGTTTTATATATATTTTGTTATTTTGTTGTTTCTCTTCAACGTGACTTTACCGAAAAAACTAAGAATATGAATTACTGCAGTCACGAAAGCTTTAAATCAAAATTTACAATTATCTAATTCAAAATAATACAATTCAAAGTTGTTTCATTTTAAATCGGGAGCTTGCGTGGAGGCGTCGTTCGTGTGCAATTTTTTTCGTGACTTTCCTGGCCCCAGGCCGTAAATGGTTGTGAGGGGCACCGCAGGCGATCTGGCTTGCTTCAAGCCATGGTTGTTAACATCCAGACGTTAATCAGCAAGGGCCATTTCTTGTCCTAATTCGAGAAAATCTACATCAACATGTAATACAAAATTATAATTCGTGTTGTAGAGAATGTATCTCCTCTACGTGTAACTTTTGAGTGGTATGCCTTGTAACTGATGAATGATCCGAGTGTGCTCCCTATTTCAAAGACAATGAGTTGCTCCAGAGGGAGAAGCTTCCTGAAACATAAAATACCCTTTGACCTGTATCACAAGAACAATGAGTCTCACCTGAGTTATCTGTACAGGTTACTTCCAAAACACACACTTTGTCTTAACATCACTTATTCAATGTTTGACCCTTATACACAAAATGTTACATGTACGTACACAATCAAACAAGTATTCATTCTAAATTATTGACAGGCATCTGAACAAAATTGAATTACAGGTGCACCCCAAGCCTGTTCCCACCCCTCCCCCCCCCCGCTTCTGTGTATATGCAAGATGTGCTGTTTTGAGCTGCCGCAAGATGAGCTGCCACTCTCCTTTTGCTCCCCCCCCCCCCCCAACCTTATTTCCTATTTAAGCTTCTGTTCACCTCTCTCTCTTTGCCTCTCCGTCTTTCCTACTGACCATGTACCTCGTATTTTCACTCTGTCTATGCTGGTTTGTGCAATCCAGAAGTTGAACACGAAATTTAACACTTCTGAAATTCGTGGTCCGCCAGGAAGTGTCTGTGTTGTTGGCCTGACTGGTTGTGCTTCACATGTTTTTTAGGTTTGTTAAATTCTCGTCTCTCATCTTTTTTACCTCCATGATTTGTTCTTGCCATGATTTGTCCTTGACACCTGGTGAAGATCGCTTGTGTTGTGATCTAAACGTCGTGATTGTTTTGTATTTAATATAATTTTATTGTATTTCTACATACGTGACTTTACCGAAAAAACCAATGAGTAAGGTTACATCGCATTAACAAGAAGCTATTTAAAAAAAATATGCACCGTCTGCTTAACAGTGTATGTACAACATACTATTGCGCCAAAACGAGTTGGCCATTGCATGCTGGCGTCTGGGTCAAAATGTATCAAATTCTAAACATTACCTATAAACTACACAACCAAGATGCCACATCAACCATCACCCCCTACTGACAGGCTCTTGTCCACATGCAGGCCAGTGCAGGGCCACCACCTTATGCCACACAGGGGCAGCTGCTATTTGGGGGTGCTCTTCGAGTGTTTGAGACAAGATACGATACAAAACTCCGAATTGCCAGAGGCGATTAAGCAACCACCATATAATTGGAATAATTAGAACCTTGTGAATGCTTGGGAGCTTATTGACTCTCGCTCATGGTTAGAGATCTACCCAACCCACAGGTCCACAAAGACTGGCCGCTCTTACCCTGCAGGTTGAACCTAGGAATTGAGTGTTCAACTTTATTGTTGTCATTAAAGGCCTGTGACAAAGGTGCATCTATTGGAGCGACATCGTCTCAAGCTTACACATCTAACGTGTCTCCAATTGACTTCGTATTGTCTCGGAGGAAGTCCACCCACACCTCCACTTCCACAAACTGCTGAGAATTGCCTCGCTCTGCCTCACAGTCAGAATTCTCCTCCTGCTTCACGTTTCCTCCATTAATGTGTCGGTCCGACTTTGGAGTTGAATCATCTTCACATTTTACCTTCACTTCTTCGCTCTTCACCATCACTTGTTCATATTTCACCTCTATACCTTTAAAAGTGTCCAAGCTTGGATTTTCTTCCGGTTCTTGTTTCATGAGGGATGGGCTCATTGCGCCACTTTGACTTCCACAAGCTGATTTCAGACTCCACTCCTTGTGGGTCTTCTGATGCTTGTGAGTTCTCTGGTGTCTTTGAAGTTGTGGTGACTGCAAACGCCTTCCCACACACACTGCACTTGAAGGGTTTCTCTCCCATGTGTGTTCTCTGGTGTACATGAAGATTTGATGAAAGTGTAAACGCCGTCCCACACACACTGCACTTGAAGGGTTTCTCTCCTGTGTGTGTTCTCTGGTGTTTTTTAAGAGTAGATGAATGTGCAAACGCCTTCCCACACACACTGCACTTGAAGGGTTTCTCTCCTGTGTGTGTTCTCTGGTGTTTTACAAGAGCAGATGAATCTGAAAACGCCTTCCCACACACACTGCACTTGAAGGGTTTCTCTCCTGTGTGAGTTCTCTGGTGTGTTACAAGAGTAGATGACTGTGTGAACGCCTTCCCACACACACTGCACTTGAAGGGTTTATTTCCCATGTGTGTTCTCTGGTGTTTTACAAGAGTAGATGAATTTGAAAACGCCTTCCCACACACACTGCACTTGAAGGGTTTATCTCCTGTGTGTGTTCTCTGGTGTGTTACAAGAGTAGATGAATGTGCAAACGCCTTCCCACACACACTGCACTTGAAGGGTTTCTCTCCTGTGTGAGTTCTCTGGTGTGTTACAAGAGTAGATGACTGTGTGAACGCCTTCCCACACACACTGCACTTGAAGGGTTTATTTCCCGTGTGTGTTCTCTGGTGTTTTACAAGAGTAGATGAAATTGAAAACGCCTTCCCACACACACTGCACTTGAAGGGTTTATCTCCTGTGTGTGTTCTCTGGTGTGTTACAAGAGTAGATGAACGTGCAAACGCCTTCCCACACACACTGCACTTGAAGGGTTTCTCTCCCATGTGTCTTCTCTCGTGTGGTACAAGAGCAGATGAATCTGCAAACGCCTTCCCACACACACTGCACTTGAAGGGTTTCTCTCCTGTGTGTGTTCTCTGGTGTGGTACAAGATCAGATGAATCTGCAAACGCCTTCCCACACACACTGCACTTGAAGGGTTTCTCTCCTGTGTGTGTTCTCTGGTGTTTTACAAGAGCAGATGAATCTGAAAACGCCTTCCCACACACACTGCACTTGAAGGGTTTCTCTCCCGTGTGAGTTCTCTGGTGTACTTGAAGATGTGATGAATGTGCAAACGCCTTCCCACACACTGCACTTAAAGGGTTTCTCACCCGTGTGTGTTCTCTGGTGTGCTACAAGAGGAGATGAATGTGCAAACGCCTTCCCACACACACTGCACTTGAAGGGTTTCTCTCCCGTGTGTGTTTTCTGGTGTATTTGAAGATGTGGTGAATGTGAAAACGCCTTCCCACACACACTGCACTTGAAGGGTTTCTCTCCCGTGTGTGTTCTCTGGTGTGCTACAAGAGCAGATGACTGTGAAAATGCCTTCCCGCACACACTGCACTTGAAGGGTTTCTCTCCTGTGTGAGTTATCTGGTGCCGTGTCAAATGTTCAGTACTATCCGTGCTGTTTGCACGCCAGTTGCATTGATGCCTGTTTGCACCGAGCTGCGCTGAGTGACTCTGCTCCATCAGACAAATTCTGCAGAGGAAGCGACAGCTGCAGAGAGAAAAAAAAGAATATCCACACCATCTACACGTCAGTATTGAGGCACAGAGGAATGCATACACACAGTAACACATGACTTACACATCTATACTTATTCATATATTCATGATATAGTGAAAAAGTGTCCCAAATTCATCACACGGGCTGTTATGGCACACAACGAGAGGGTGAATGTCATAAACATGCCTGGAAGCCCTCGTATCTTCAAAATGAATGTTAACCCAAAACTCCGAGCACACAATTTCGGCTATCTGGCTTCAAAAGGAATACTTATGAAAGCTAAATTCAGCTGACATAGCAAAGGCTGTTGAAAATAATACTGTTTGTGTTATGCAGAAATGCATAAATTAATGTTCAATCGCAACTTAGAGGTGTGAAGCCAGGCACAGATGTCCTTGAATGCTGGGATAAACAGTTCTGACTTCAACTGCACATGTGCTGTGATAACTTCCTGACTCCATTCTTACAAAAAGTTCCAGAGGAAATAAAAAATAAACTGTTTTGATATAACCTCCTTGCTCAATAGAGTTAATAGACTTTACTGCAAATACAAACTTGACCCTGTCACACACTCAGAGGTGGAGCCAGGATTTTCAGGAAGATGGGGCAACCCCTTCAGCAATGAAAAATGATAGGAGTTGTTAGTAAGTAAGGAGTTGTTAGTAAGTAAGTTGTCAGTATGTAAGGAGTTGTTAGTAAGCGAGGAGTTGTTAGTAAGGAGTTGTTAGTAAGGAGTTGTAAGGAGTTGTTAGTTAGTAAGGACTTGTCCCTTGCTTTTTTTATTTGACGCGTATGATAGGCATCGCGCTCGCTGAAGGTGTTTGCCATCAGGGAAGTCGTGTACTGTATACGCAACTGCGCACAATTCTGTGAGTCGCTTGTAACAGCTTTGCCGTGACTTATTGCCAATTTTGGACTCGGACTGTTGTCCTCTCATAGAGTCCCTGGCACGTAATAATATGCCACACGGTGGCAGTGGGGGTCGCAAAATGCTGATTTATCTATATATATAAAAGGGAAATTTGTGAATTTGCGTCTGTTTGAAATGTTCAGCATACTTCCCGACATGCAACAAACTTGAAATTTGACATGTGGGTAGCTTCCAGACTGGACACAATGCACAAAGTATTAAAATAGTCGTCATCTGAGATGTCACCTTATGCGGCAGCGTTACGCAGTGTGCCTGCTAACGTCACGCATCCCCCCCCCCCAACACTCCGCGAAGGCCGTGTTTTAATCCAAGACAAGAATTAAAGTCCCGGGCAAAGCCGGGCAGTAAAGCTAGTCTATATATAAAAGGGAAATGTGTGGACATGTGTGTGTGTGTGTCTGTTCGAAATGTTTAGCATACTTCCCAACATGCAACACACTTGAAATTTGGCATGTGGGTAGGTTCCATACTTTACACAATGAAAAAACTATAAGAAATTACTTGTATATTTGGGGGGGGGAGGGTGGGAGACCATGGAGTGTGTGACGTCAACCCGCAACACACCTGAGTTAAGTAGTTTGTAATGCTTACCCGTACCATATGGCTCGTCGCACGCCATACTTCTAGAGCTGTTAACAGCATGCCGGGAGATTTTATGTGGCGCTTTGCTCCTGGCCGATGAAGCCATTGGCTTCTCGGAGTTTCAATACATATCTGTGCGAAGAACGTGTACAACGGCTATCTTAAACATGAAGCAGAAATTACAACTGTTTGTTTGTGTGAAGCAGCAAAAACTCTCCAACGCTGAGCTCTGGCGTCATGAAATTTGCACAGCTTATGTTGTCTGGAATTTCTAAGTTAACACGACTATTTTCAGCTCGCCACGTCATTCTCTTCTGGAGTGGCCAAAATCGACCTTACGTAGAAGTGGATTAAGGTTGAATTTCCTTGAGTGAAAACATCCGATTTAGGAAACTTGATTTGTTTCAGCTTTTTTCTTTCTTGAAAGCATCAAATTTTTTCAGGGGTTTTCGGTGAAAGGGAATATGAAATTTATCCAAGACAAGAATACAAGTCCCGGGCGAAGCCGGGTAGTGAAGCTAGTTACTAACAAACCCCAATGATCCGATCGAAATTAGGGATTTCGATCGGACCATTGGGGGGGGCACGTGCCACCCCACCCCCACTGGCTCCACCACTGTCACACACTGGCATGGTTCACTGGTGGTGGTGTGTCCAGACCCACGCCTGGCCACCTTCACATGTTCAGTATTAATGCTTCCTCACACCACCAAGAAATTCATTGAGGATCAATCAACACAGCCGAGGCTGCATGTCTCCCTCTCTCTCCCCGTGGTCGCGTGGATTTCCCTCCCGATCCCCCGGTTTCCCCTCCACATGTAGAGAGTGAACACCACCACGCGTCTAGAGTGAACACCACCACGCGTCTAGAGTGAACACCGCCATGCGTCTAGAGTGAACACCGCCACGCTGTTGACGAGCCTCACCTTGTGATGTGGGCAGGTTGCGTCTGAAAACAAAAGCAGTACAGCAGCTCAAGCGGGCTTGGCCTGGTAAAAAATAATGAAATAAAAACTGCGTGAATATTTAAAAGTAAAACAAAGTGACAAAGTGGCGAGCCGTGTGAAGACAAATTCAACTTAAGCGAGAGAATTGAAGCAAACGCGATCAGGCGAGGGCAGGAAGCAAGGCCCCACGTGACTAGGCCCCGCGCTGTAACGTTCCAACCTGGACATCGCTTCCATGCTCGCTGCTACTCAATTGACATCCATACGAGAGAGAGCGAGGCTCTACCTCGGTAAACAACCACCACCACAACCACCACAACCACAATCACTACATCCACCACAACCACCACCACTACATCCACCACAACAACCACCAAAACCACCACCACTACAACAACCACCACAAACACCACCACTACAGCAACCACCACAAACACCACGACTACAACAACCACCACCACAACAACCACAACCACCACCACAACAACCACCACCACAACAACCACAACCACCACAACAACACCACAACAACCACCACCACAACAACCACCACAACAACCACAACAACAACCACCACCACAACAACCACCACAACAAGTAAAACAAAGTGACAAAGTGGCGAGCCGTGTGAAGACAAATTTTACTTAAGCGAGAGAATTGAAGCAAACGCGATCAGGCGAGGGCAGGAGGCAAGGCCCCACGTGGCTAGGCCCCGCGCTGTAAAGTTCCAACCTGGACATCGCTTCCATGCTCGCTGCTACTCAATTGACATCCCTACAAGAGAGAGAGAGCGAGGCTCTACCTCGGTAAACAACAACCATCACAACCACAACCACCACAACCGCGATGAGAATTTCTCACCTCGGATTTCAGGGCACGGAGGAGCAGCAGCTTCCTGTTACTTTGTGACGTCACGCCGCAGCAGGAGTTGACATGACGTCACTTGCGGGGAACGACAACACTCCCCTCCAACAATGAGCGGCTCTGTAACTTAAATAAATTATGTTAATGAGCCTGGCCCATACGTGGAGGGATTGGCATGGGTGCCGAACTCGTCGCAATAAACTCGCGACGGCTTTCATGAATATATTATGTTAATGAGCCGCCAGTCACCTGGAGTAGCTTTGCCCAAATAAGGATTCTACTTGAACAGATAAGGGAAGTGACCCAGGCAGAGGTGACGTCACGCTCAAGGGCGCGGTGGACGGGGTGGGGTGAATACCTTGGTGACATGACGTCACTAGCGAGGTACACCTCCCCCTGGCGTTTCACGCCGATGAGGTAATGCTGAGTGTTGACGTCACAGAGCGGGGTTGGAGTTTAAGTTGATTTAGATTCATTTTCCATTGCTCCCTCCCTTGATCAGAGAACCCTTGGGTGTGTGAGCTCAGCAACAACTCTGTGTGTGTACACTGTGTGTGTGTACACTGTGTGTGTGTGTGTGTACACTGTGTGTGTGTGTGTACACTGTGTGTGTGTGTACATACTGCGTGTGTGTACATACTGCGTGTGTGTACATACTGCGTGTGTGTACATACTGCGTGTGTGTACATACTGCGTGTGTGTGCACACTGTGTGTGTGTACACTGTGTGTGTGTACACTGTGTGTGTGTACACTGTGTGTGTGTGTACACTGTGTGTAGACTGCGTGTGTGTACACTGCGTGTGTGTACATACTGTGTGTGCACATACTGTGTGTGTGTGTTTACACTGTGTGTAGACTGCGTGTGTGTAGACTGCGTGTGTGTACACTGCGTGTGTGTACATACTGTGTGTGTGTACATACTGTGTGTGTGTTTACACTGTGTGTGTGTGTGCACACTGTGTGTGTGTCACTGTGTGTGTACACTGTGTGTGTGTACACTGGGTGTACACTGTGTGTGTACACTGTGTGTGTGTACACTGTGTGTTTGTGTACACAATGTGTCTGTGTACACGGTGTGTTGTGTGTACACTGTGTGTGTACACTGTGTGCGTGTGTACATTGTGGGTGTGTACACTGTGTGTGTGTGTACACTACTGTGTGTGTACACACTGTGTGTGTGTGTGTACACGGTGTGTGTGTGTACACTGCGTGTGTGTACACTGTGTGTGTATACATACTGTGTGTGTGTACATACTGTGTGTGTGTACACACACTGTGTGTACGTACACACTGTGTGTGTGTACACACACACTGTGTGTGTACGTACACACTGTGTGTGTACGTACACACTGTGTCTGTACATTGTGTGTGTGTGCACTGTGTGTGTGTACACTGTGTGCGTGTACACGGTGTGTGTGTTTACACTGTGTGCGTGTGTACATTGTGTGTGTGTACACTGTGTGTGTGTGTACACTCTGTGTGTGTGGGGGC